TCTCTCTCTCTCGCTCTCTCTCTCTCTCTCTCTCTCTCCCCATTCTGCCGTCAAAAAGTACCGGGCGCAGACGAAGGGTGGCAACGCTCTCCGTGAGGCGGGCCTCGCCAACAGGAACGTGCAGCGGCTGGCCAGCGAGAACGCCGCCCTGGTGGGGCACAACAACAACAAGCAGAAGATCAAACACCTCCAGGTGAGCGCGGACGGCACATGCGGGGGGGGGCTCTATGAAATGCGGGTAAACGCTTTGACCCGCACTGCAGCGGGCACCGCCCAACTGTAGAGGGTTTGGTGCACATGTCTGTCGGGATTGATGATGACTTTATGGTATTTTCTTGTTTGCTTACACGTCTCTGTGTTGGCGAAGGGGCTGGGACTCGCGTGGCGCTTTCGTAGTGTATTTTGTCGTGTTAAACCACGACAATTACCAACGACGTTAGCAACAGATCCGGGAAACAATAAAACAATCAGCATCGACGGTTAACTTTCTTTCGAGCGTTTGCGTGCAAGTCTCTCCTCCGACATATGGTGTCTAGGTTCTCTGGAGCTATCACGATCGGCACGTTCCTGCCTCGCCATGCTGTACTAACCGCCCCCCCCCCCCCCCCCCCCCTCGAACCCAAAAATGTTTGAAAAAACTAAAAAAAAAAACAGAACCTCAAGAAGGAGAGCATCCGTCTTCAGAACGAGAAGGCGAGGCAAGCTAGCGACCTCGCCCTCGCGATAGCCGTACTGGAGGCGGTGGGGGTCCTTCCGAAGGAGGTGAGACACACACACACACAGAGGGAGAGAGAGAGAGAGAGACAGAGACAGAGACAGAGACAGAGAGAGAGAGAGAGAGAGAGAGAGAGAGAATATTGACGCTTTGGTTGTTGCTCCGCGTGCGAGTGGATGGCAGACGTGACACACACGCACAGACGTGCATTTGTCTACGTCCGCTACCGTTGCTGTCTTCACTCCGGAGAGAAAGAAGCCTTGCAACGCCACGACGCAGCCCCCCTCACGGGGTCCCAGATCATGGCCTTTCAAGGACTATTTCCCGTGTTCTACCGCGATCAGACTTGCGGAATTTCATTGGCAACGCGATCGATCCTAAGAATGAAGAACATACCCGAACACGCACACCACGCACCCACCACGGTAGGAGTGCTATGCATAGGTGGTGTTGTGTCTTTGTCCTCTTGCAAGTTTTCTGAATCCGGAGACAAAGACCACTGTTTATGGCAAAAAAAACTTGATCTTCCTTTCTTTCGACAAATGATTACTTTTTCGACCTTTTGGGCAGTCTGCCTCCCGAACGAGTTCGAATCAGCTGTTCGACCTTTGAGAACAGTCACGGCTTTGGCTGAGATGTCTACAGATCGCCTACATGTTTCGCCAGGGTCCACGTTTGATTTTTTCAAGGTGCGCAATTTTCACGCAAGATTTCTCCAACACCAGCTTTTGGACAGATCTTGGCCCAAGATTTGCTCCGAGGTGGCCTTTGGGCCGAATCTTCAACATCTTGCTCTGCTGGAAAAAAATCAAACGTGAACCCTGGCGAAACATGTAGGCGATCTGTAGACACCTCAGTCAAAGCTGTGACTGTTCTCAAAGGTCGAACAGCTGATTCGAACTCGTTCGGGAGGCAGACTGCCCAAAAGGTCGAAAAAGTCAACATTT